TTCGATTTTGTAACTTTCCTCAGGTACTCTCTAATCAATCTTCAATTACTGGCAGAGTTCAACCATCCTTGGTCTCTCTCGAAACAACACAAACCGCGCTCTGCCTACTGATCCTGACTTCTCAAGGAGACGCCTCTCGCGGCACTGTCACGCAAGTCAATGTGACAGCAACGCCTGCGTCACACAACGCGGAAAACAAGCAGTTGGGCATCTTCTCTTTGACAGTAACTACCGATCGTAAACTTCTGGTTAAGAACGATGAGTTGGAAAACAAAGACTTAGGAAAGGGAAAAAGGCTAGAAAAGTGGCAAATTAGTCTGATCATCGGTGCGGTCACTTTATCAATCCTTCTTGTTACAGTTTTAGTGATTTGCGGAGTGGATCGTGAGTGCAAGAAGCGGGGAATTAGGCGTTTTAATGGCAATCAAGGAGCTAGCAACCAGCATCAGGGCGATAACTTCGATGATGTGATCGTTAATAACTACGCTTGAGGCAATTGACATTTTGTTTTGTAGCGTAGAAAGGCACTCTTCCATACTTTAACAAGGCACGGTTGCACTGAGAACTCGTTTTGTCACGCAGATGTGTCGTGATCCTTGGGAACTAGCTAGCACTAAAGGAGTATATGGTATCTAGTATGGAGAATTTCTGTTTCAAACCAGGAACTGGAAGGGCCTATGTTATAAAGCTTTACTACTTACGAGTTCGGGAGTCATATGACAGCAGAGCAAAGAACGAACGCTGTATCTACTGAACAATGTCAACAACGAGTAAAAATAGAGCTGTAACTAGAATAGGAGATGTTTTATAAAAGTATAGTAAAAAGCATTCTCTGGTTAAAAAGATTAAAACATAAGCTTTCGGCTATCAGTGTATGGCTTTCGTTAAAGGCTATAGAGTGATAGTCGAAAGCTTATGTTTTAATCTTTTAAACCGGAGAACGTTTTTTACTACTTTTTGAAAATGTCAACAACATTGTATATATGATATAATTAGAAATTTTATTACTCTCTTTATTGTTATAAACGATTTATCTTGAGATCATTAT